AATCTCACCGGCTCAAGGTTGACTCAGCCTTCCATCCTTCCGAGGTGGGTAAAATGAGGACCCGGATTGTTGTTGGGGGGCAATATGCTGACTCTATAAAACGCTTAGAGAGGGCTGAAAGCCCTATGAAGCGGTGTATAAGTCTAACTGCTATTGCTGTTGCTACTCTGAACTGACCTTGGTCACACTAATGCCTTTACAGTTCTGAAGTCCTGTACCAATGTAGGTGAGTTATCCACCAGCAGGATTAAACCCTTCTGCAGTGGACATAACAAGGAGACATTCATAATCTAAAAGTTTCTTGGTTTAAAAGTCTTTTTGTAGCTACCATTGTACCGTTTTGCACCATTGTAGCTGCAATTGTTGTTTTTCTTTCAGCTTTAGATCATATATAGCAATAGCAATAGCACTTAAGACTTAGCTATACAGCTTCATAGTGCTTTACAGTCCTCTCTAAGCAGTTTACAGAGTCAGCATATTGCCCCTAACAATCTGGGTTCTCGTTTTACCGATCTCGGAAGGATGGAAGACTAAGTCAACCTTGAGCCGGTCAGGATTGAACTCCTGCTATGGGCAGAGTTAGCCTGCAGTTCTGCATTCTAACCACTGGGCCACCATCGCTCTTATCAACGTATCTTTCAGACAGTTTAGTCTTTGGTCACTGCCTCCTGATTAGGCTGTTAGCCAACTCAGGGAATTCTGTTGTTCTAAAATAGGGCTATAAAAACGACTAATTGAAATTGAGATGATAATAATCTGATCAAATTATTCCAGTGTTGAATAGATTAATAGCCAATTTAGGACTTCAGCATAACTCATCTGGAGCTTACTCAAGATAACATTGGAGGTCCTTTCTGTAAGCCATTAGCAAATGTAATTGTATAGGTAATTACTAGCAGGGATCACACTTACAGATATCACTCCAGGGAAGACTAATTAAAAAGGCACCTGCTGGTACTCTTTGATCATTTTTTTTCAGTGAAACCCGGCCCTATTAAATAATTACGCATCTTATTTGAGATCTGAGGATTCTGCCTTATGTTTTATTCTGTTAGAAAGAGTTTTTTAATTAAGCCACATTTTACTACTGATACATTTTAATCATATTTTATTCCCATCCAGGCAGTGCATCTGAATGATGATTGGTCATGTAAACTTGATGAGTATATACATCATAGCTGCTGTATTTAGAGGATTACTTAATTTCATTAAATTCCTTGAAGAGATGTCCATTTTAAAAATGCTTAATTATGTTAAATGTGAGTTAAACTACAAATGTAATTATCAAAATAGGAACATTCCTTACAAAACATTGCCTGATAAGGGACATGCCTTTCTCTATGGAATAATTGTGTTTATTTGAAGAGAAATGTTAAAATATTAAATAGAAGAATACTGTACTCTAACTGTTTTAAAACCTTTCTTAAAGGTATGTTGCATTTGTGCTGATAAATAAATAAATAAATAAAGGGAGACTAGTATAGATCTATTTCAAGCTATTTAGCTCTCATCAGCTAGCCATGCCCTTACTGGGATTTGAACCTGTGCTTTATTTATTTATTTATTTATCAGCACAAATGCAACATAGATATAGATA